CTAGCCAAGTGATCTTCTATCTCAAAATCAATTGGCAATGAAGAAGTAATCCAAATCCTTATAAACTCAGGCGAGTCACTTAATTTTTTAATTTGGAGAAAACACTCTCAACAAAGGCTAAGTCACTTTTATATTGTCACAGAGAGAGAGAGAGAGAGAGAGAGAGAGAGAGAGAGAGAGGGGTATATACCAAGTAAAAAAGGATACTACCAAATAAAGAGATTATGTTTCTAAGAAAAAAGAGAGGAGAGAGAAATTTATTTTATTTTATTTTTATGAGAGAGAAAATAAAATTAATGATTGTTTATTTAAAACATTAAAACTATTTGTCATGTCAGATTTAATCTCAACAATTAAAAGTAGAGTAACCTAATTGCCCAAAAATTGTGTCAAAACTTGTGTCAAAAATATGATGCCACAGATCCGCCCATATATATATATATATATAAAGGTATAAGTTATGTGAATTTATAGCTATTCATATGCAAATACAATATTTATTAAAAAAAATATACGAGAAGCATATGACATTCTTCATGCCAATTAAATAAATTCTCAAATTAAATTTTATTTTTTCGATTTTGGGGAGAGATAATTGAACACAAGACTTCGGTGTAGGTATAACGCTCTTATCTTCAAATTTTGTAAGACTTGAGACCAACTTATTACTATTACTTATCTTAGCAATTATTTTTTAAAAGGATTATTCGTATAGTACTTGTTCCATTTCTCTTTGTATATTTGCATCTCCAGTTATTAATTTGCATGCCATCCCAAATTGCCAATAACTTGTAGGCCAAATCGAGCGAGGAAGGAGGAGGACCTGACGTTGTCACAGTGAACGATCTTGATTTCTTTGTCAGTTTGCTAGATGACAAAAAATTGATTAATTCTATGCGTGTGTTTATTTTTTCTGCAAAAGAAACCAAGGAAGTTCATGGTGAAATTTCGAAGAACAAGCTGCACATGGCCACTTAATCCACAAACTTCTTTTTTGTGGTTCCAAATTTACTTTTATTTTCGAGTAAGACATGCATATATAAGGGGCTAGAGCTAGAGATTCAATAGTTTGTTAATTAATAGAGAAACTACAATTAGAGCCCGTTTGTTACTGTTATACGAATATGTTTTTGCGTTGCAAAACAAAAGACGACTTGTCAATGAAGTATAACTCAATTGGTTGAGTTCTTCTATCTCTACTTATGTGGCAGAGCTTTGAAACCTCCAAATATCCAGTGAATATTTGTGTAAACCCCCATCCCTAAATCGCTTGTGCTAAAAAAACCAAAAGATGACCTTAAATGGTGTTTGGTTGTGAATTATGGAAACATTACTGACATACAAAGTCAATCATAAAAAGAGATAAAAGTGTTGTAAATACCCATTAGTGACGACATTACGATGTTTTTTGTCATGTTGCATCACAAATGTTTTGAGCCCCTTTTATGACGCTTCTGGGCCGTCGTAATATCGTATCGAACTTGCTAGCAATAAATCAAATGTTAGATTTAAAACGTGATTTTACAACACAAGTTACGACGCAATCTCGTGTAGCAATTAAAGTAATTGTGACGGCGCCATTCTGTCGCTCATGTTTATATGACAAAGAAAGCGACAATGTATGCGACGCAGGCACACGTCGTTAAAATTGATTTAACGACTGTATGTAGCATCGCAATAAATATGCGACAAAGTTCTTCATCCGAGAGCTCATTCCCTTTATTTTGAAGCTGTTAGTTTGAGAATATATTCCTGGTAAGGCGTTTGTTAATATTAATCAATTCTGTTTTTTGAGTTATTTTTTAATTTAATATTTTGCACAGGCAATGACAGTTTTAATTGACATGTACACTATGATTATAAATTAGAATTGATTATAAAAACTTATAAAATGGTGTTATATCTTTATCAAAGTAAAAATAACTTCATTTATGTACTTGAAAGTATCATCTTTTACATTTTTTTAAAAAAAATTTAATAATAATAGAATCTCAAATCTCAAGTCATGTGTAAACAATACCATCTTTATATATAAAACAAAATATTACAGATTCAAAAGTATTAAAATTAAAAACTTGAAGGAGTCATCATTATCTTGTATTTCACCTTCACCCCCAACCTAAAAATAGAGATAAAAACATAAATAAATGAATGGAAAACAAATATTTTTTTAATTTTATTTCGAAGATGTCTTTCTAACCTTTTAATGAAAACAATTGCTTCTATGTCTCCAAGTCTAAATTAGGCTGCAGCTCGCTATTAACACTAAGTCTACTTTAGTGCTTACTGTGAGGCATTCAGAATCTATTGATGACATCAAATATAAAATATTTCAAAGTTACATAAAAACTAAGATCACTTAACTTTTAATAGTATTTATTCTTTAATAAGAGAAATACATTAAATATAATGTACATGTCTGCCTCCATTTTCTTCTGAGGTGGTTTGGAAACCAACATGAGTCATCACTTGGTTGAGTTGTGAACTGACTTCATTTATCTTGGATTGAAGATCATCTATTTTTGATTGATATTGTTTCTCTAGCACTGTCCTCATCAAAAACTTCATCTTCATCATTTTTCTTCTTCCTTGTTCTATATGCCTCAGGGGCATCTCTATTATCCTACAATTATAATATTTTAATTATCAATCAAACTCATCAATACACATACATTATCACAAATATAATTAGAAGATATGTTAGAGGAACCTTTTTTCCATTTTGTGCTATGATTCCAAGCTGTGAACTAAACAATGATGCATTTGCTTTAACTGGCTTCCACTCAGGATCAAAGGAAATATGCAATATGTTTCCAGTTCCTCATGTTAAGTCCAATTTTTGTACTTGGACATAAATCATGCCTTCTTACTACATCCCTTGTGAACAAATAACGATTGTGACATTTCTTGCATAGACATTAAATTCTTGCATCATCTATATTTTTAGAAAATACAAAATCTAAAAAAGTCTCAACTTCAGTGAGATATTGCATAGATGTTCAATCTTGTATATCTATCCAACTCTTGTCCATACTTTTCTATTTGTTATCCAAGAAGAAAGAAAAAATAATACCTACCGATCAATACTAGAAAATAATACACGTAGAAACATAAAATTGTGGAAGATAGGCAATTTGACCTTTCAAATTTAAGCTTTTTATATCAATGGAAACCACAGCTATCGTTCACACGAACAATTTTGTATTGAAATCTCTGAATCTACAATAAGAAAGACAGATTAGGAATATTATAATTGTCTTGTCTAAAAAAATATATATTCATGAATATTAATTGTAATAATATAAACAACCTTAACAAACCCAAAGTGCTTTAGTTCTAAATGAAATCAATTTTAATTTTCAATTTTTCTCAGAGAACTACTAGATTTATTAATTTTTCATAGAAAACAGAACTATTGTGGTCAAATTCAAAGGCAGCAATAAATTGACGACAACCAACAAACCAAAATTAGCCTCACTCTATATATCTTGATGGGATCAAGTTCCCAACTCCAACTCTATTTACACTATTAATACGCCAACTCCAAAACAAAACTATGGTCAAATTTAAAGACACATTACTACGATAACTCCTAACCTATTTATACAATTACAAACATAGAAAATTTGGGGCTAAGTTTTATGGTATTTTCATGACGTTACTAATTAAGGTGTCACAATTATGTTAGTGCGAATCACTAGCGTGCAAAATTACATATATTTGCGTGAGCTATGTCGATCGTCCCAAATACTTGTCGCAAATAGCCATTTTTCTTGTAATGGAGAATACACTTAGAAAAATAATTCAAATTTGTACTTTAGTTTAGAAAGAACCCAGAAGTTATGTTCCTAGGTTTCATTGTTACGTTAAAATTGAAAAATACGGGAAAGACTTGTAATATAAACACTGCAAAGGTTTCTCACTTCGTCAACTTTCTACTTCGAGTCTTCATCACATTTCGGCTCCCCATCTAAAATATCCTCCTCACACTCTTACACAATTAATTGAATTTTGTACATTAGTTTAGAAATCAACCAAGACCTATTTTCCTCATTTTTACGGTAAAATTGAAAATATGAAAGTCTTCTCTAGAAACACGAGAGTATAAAGGTAAAAGCTTTCACACTTCGTTGAATTTTCACTCGTTTTAGCTTTCTATCAAAAGTCGTCTGTCTTTTCACATCTTAGTTGAAATAAATTATATTGAGAGCTGTTTGGCACTTCAAAATAGTCATCATGCACTTCTCTCTAATGAGAATAATAAAGGAGGAAGGAGTGCATGATGGATTTTTTTGGGTGCTAATAATACTTATATTTCCTTATTTTCTACTAAATATATAGATAAACACCCACATAAATTTGTGTATATTTCAATTGAGTTCTCCTTAGCTCAACTACGATTGCTGAAGGGTTGTTTTATTTACAATGTGATGCATTAAGTTTTATCTTCAGAATTACAATCACAAGGATATTGATCTAATAGTTTTTTTAAAAAATAAATAAATTATATATAATATCCTTGTAGTTGGATATATTAGTCGGGTAAAGTTCATATAATTCATAGTCTTGGAAAGATCCTTGGATATTTTATGCTGCTAAATTATTTATAAATAAATAAATAAATAAAAAGAACTGCACATGAATTAATCTGCTAGTGTTAACATGTTATTGGTTGAAGAAAAATATAGTAAACCAAATTATACAACAGCGGGTGTAGAGAAAGAGCCCTAGACTGTCCCACAGGGATATATATTTTGACCGATTCATGAAGTCAAGCTGAAGGAGAGATAATATTTTCTCATACAAGCGCGTAGAAATTTCCAAGCAACTCAAAACTGTCCCTCCTTTCTCTTTCACTCGGCTTTTTTGCTAAACCGTTTGCTCATTTGCCTAACTTCAATTCATATCCTATATAATGAACCGCTTCACGTAAGTGAAAATCAAATTAAGCGCAATACATAACGTTTTGAGAGAGAGAGAGAGAGAGAGAGAGAGATCAGATGGGGGATTTGCCACCTGGGTTTAGATTCTACCCAACGGAGGAGGAGCTGGTTTCGTTTTATTTGCAGAACAAACTGGAAGGGAGGAGGGAGGACTTGAACCGAGTCATGGACCGAGTCATACCTGTTCTTTACATATACGAGTATAATCCATGGGACCTCCCACGTAATTAAACTTCTCTCTCTACTCTCTCTTCTCTCTCTGGTGCATCATTTTCTTGTTGAGGTGCATATAAAGGATAGGTTGCATCATTTTAGTAACATGAAAAAATAATGGAGGTCGCTTATGGAGTTACTCCTCATTGCAATGTCATGACTTTATTTAACTTGTATTTCTGTTTTGTTTATACTTGAATTAATTACTTGGGTTATGTAATGAATTTATAGAGTTTTCGGGAGAGGCCTGCCATGGAGATCCGGAGCAGTGGTTCTTCTTCATCCCAAGACAAGAGAGTGAAGCTCGAGGAGGGAGACCGAGGCGACTCACAACAACTGGGTATTGGAAAGCAACTGGGTCACCGAGTTTTGTTTACTCTTCCAATTCCAATCGAGCCATCGGCCTCAAAAGAACCATGGTTTTCTACAATGGTAGAGCTCCTCATGGAAATAAAACCGAGTGGAAGATGAACGAATATAAAGCCATTGAAGCTCATCATGCAGATCAAAATCAATCATTGATTGCCTCTTCATCATCAAACACCCCTTCTGCTCCTACGGTACTAATTAATCATATATCTCCAAAATTACTTAATTTCTTTTCGAAACCTAGATATCATATAATAACTTGTCAAATCATTCTTAATAATTTTGAGCACACAAGATCAAACCTTACATTTAATTTGTGTATCATAACAACTCGAAAAGACTTGATATGTACATGTTAGTGTATGTTAGTGGTACCGCTTGGACCACAATTATGTTTTTAAGCGTGGTACTTGATGGCATATGACATCAATCAAATTGCATGTACATAAGGGAAATAATTATATACCAATTCTTAGCACTAATTATATATCAGTTTTGGGATTGTGCTTATTTTAAGAAATCGATGACAGTTTTGTAATTAATAGAATGTTCAAACTCTCTTTGTTATGTTGTAAATGGGTTTTTGGTGTGTTTCTAATGAAACATCAACCAAATTAAACTTCATAAACTTAATTATGTTGTTGCCTTAGATTTATTAATTTATGTTGGCATGCATGCAGTTGAGGCAAGAATTCAGTTTGTGCCGAGTGTACAAGAAATCAAAATGCCTGAGGGCATTCGACAGACGACCTCTAGGGGTGGAGATCATGAGCAACCCTAGTTTGAATTTGAATCAAACGGCTGCTGCTCATGAAGGTGCAGGTCATCAGGGTCAGGGTTCAACATCACATAGGAGGAACCCCCTCATGGGTAGTGATCAGAGAACAAACTCAAGCTCACCAGAGAGTTCATCCTCAGGAGATCATCATGGCCCTCAACCACCCTCTCAACCTGCAGGTGAAACTGGAACCTTGCCAATGTTCATTGATAATGAAGCACTTTGGGATTTGGAACAATTGATGATCAATAACAATTGGCTTTAAGGAAGAAAATAAGGAGAAGATTAGTTTCACTCAAAATGGAATTGATGATTTGTAGAGTTTAACCAAGTTATAAGATAGTGGTATTACTTTTTGTACTAGAGTTGTGGAGAAAATGCCTAAACTTGTTGTGTTAGACTTGTAGCTTCACATGTAAGGCCAAAGTTTGAAGTACATCTCTTCATATTTCCTTTGTAACAAATAACTATAAGTTTCTTCGCCCACTGTACTTTCATATATTATGTATGTTTCTTGGATTATATGAATCTTGAGATTTTGCAGAAGTGGAGAATGGTATTTGTTGGTGAAATGATGAGAAGTAATTCATATTAATTTTTTATATCAAGTGCACAAATGATCTAAAATTAAATTCATTGTAAATAATTAATAAAAAAGAAAAGTTCGATGCACATTTTTCTTTTTATTCGGAAACACATAAGTTCTGGTTCTGGTTCAAAATAGATCTTAAGTCATAATCTAACTCCTCCAACAAAATAAAAACTAAACGTCGTCACTAAACTAATTGATCATTAAAAATCATGTTTTCTCCTGAGGTTTTTAAATAAAATCGTCATCATGCATGTGAAGTTAATATCACACATAAATCATTTCCAAATGTAGTCAAATACCATACATATTCCATGCATAATCCGCCTACTAAAACAAAATATATTAATCTGATTGGATGGTGTTGTAAACAAAGTAGGCAAAGCATCCAAAAAAATACGTACACATGTACAAACAAGTACGAATCGAGTCAAACATACGTACACATGGACAAGGAGAAATGTTTTAATTTGACGAGTGAATTACGTCGTATGTTCAGTCATACACACAAACAAGAAAGATTGAACCAACATAGGGCTGTGTGGACTCGAATCGAACACCATAAAATTCTCTGATTGGTGTATGTGGCCGTACAAGTGATGTCATCCACCTGCCGAGTTGAAGAATTTCTCCATAATTAAAAAGGCAGTGAGAAAAATTCTTTGGTAATCAACCAGTCAAATCACCTTTACCTAATTCATATACACCTGTATGCATGAGACTTTAGCGTTGACGTTGATGAGATGTCGACAGCAGTAATCTTTGGCCTTTGTATTTCGCCATAGAATAGAAGCATAGAGGCTAAATTGAGTTTTGCAAAAGAAAACATCTTGGAAATTCCTAGGCGTGAAAATACTTGATTATTTTCTTTCTCGTCATTATGTGCCAAGATGTGGCCTTCCACGTGCAAATTGAAGGAGGTCAGCCTCAGAAAAGTCCCAACAACGTTGCTTCGTCTGTTTCTTGTGTCTCCGCAAACTGAAATAGCGGACACGTTTAGTCAGAAACACGCATGAGACGCTGCTTGATTTTGTTCATTCTTTTTACTCCAAAATTTAAGTGATCGTTATTTCTTTAGTAAATTTGGCTTACACCCTTTAAATTCAATTTGCCATACCTAAAACCCTTCACTTTTTGTTCCTATAAATAATACCCAATTTGTATAAGTAAAAATCCATAACTAGGATCCAACTCAGCAAGTTACCTAATTAAGCATAAAATCTGATTTATTGTACTTTTCAGATTCCAAAAATACCCCAAACTAAGCCATTATTGCATTTTGTATATTAATGTAGGAATCAATAAGGAAACAGTTTTTAATTGGATTGTATATAATGACATATGTTGAATTTGGAAAGATCTCCAAATGGTTGTAATGGATGTAGGAATTAATTTTGAAACATTTTTAAAAAAATTTAACAATAAATTCAAATTTAGGTAATCGGTTTGTTTAATAAAATGTTTATGTTATTTTCTTTTTATGAATTATACATGACTAATAATCCACTTTATAATTGTTTATGAATAAAACTGTACATACTAATTATGTTGAAAAAATAATGTACCTATTACTTGTTTGTTTTATGAAAAACATAATTTACCTAGTATGAAAAGTGTACATAATTATCTATTCCAAATAATGTACCTATACACATTTACAAGTATATTGTAAAATAATTTACTTGTAGGTAAATAATGTACCTATATTTTATATAAATTATTGTGTACCTATTTTTAATTATGAAAAATATACGCAATTACAAAGTAACTGACTTTGTTTTTGTTTTTCTTTTGGTAAATAATATACCTATATTTTATAGGGAGTTTCACTAAAACACCCAAAAAGGGGCTTGAAATTATAAAAAACCCAACACCCAAAACACTTTATAAACACACCCAAAACCCATCATTACACACACTCAAAACCCATTTATAAACACACCCAAAAAATATACAATTGTTGATTTTGGGGTTGATTTTGAGTGTGTTTCTATGTTTAAATAGTGCTTGGGTTTTTTTATAAATACATGTCTAGGATTGGGTTTATTTATAAATTTGTATATTTGATATGTATATATTTATATTATATTTTTCATAGGTACATTATTGGATATGTAATTTACAGATTTTTTGTTTGTTTGTAATTTTAGGGGGCGAGATGTGAGAGGGAGTGACAACTAAAAGAAATGGGGTGATTGATATGCTATTAATAGGGAGTATATTAATTACAAATATGGCAATTAATGAAATGCTTGAAATAAATTATAAATAAAATATGAAGTTTAGTGGCAATGATGTAAAAACATAGAAATACTACGACCTCTTATATCCTACTAGTCATTTAAATTTGAAATTGGGTTTTACTCATAGATTTATAGAGTGATGGGTATATGTCTAGGAAATAGAAAATGTAGGGATCTATATTGGACAAGCCCTTATTTCTTCCTCAAGAAAAAAAAACCATACACGTATGTCAGTTTTTCTATGAAAAGGATGTTCCTTATCATAAGAAATGTATACATATTCGTTTTAGGATTATACATAATGTATTTACCACATCCGAACTGCCTAGATTTTAGGTCATCATCCTTCAATGATTATTTCTGTAAAAACACACATTACCAAAAAAAAGTGGTAACAGTCACCATTATTTGGTGACATTACTGGGGTGATTAAAGGCTTTTTTTGTGACTCTTTTTTTTTTGGGTAGTGACATTCATATCGAAAGTGTTTGATCATCTAGAAACATGCAAAAAAACCATAATTTGTTTGGATAAAAATGAAATGAAAATGTGGATAATTAAATGGCTAAGCTATTTTCTGATTTGGCTGTTGTTTGCATAAATAATCCTCGGAACCACCTCCTTAAAACTAAATTGGTGTTTGGTAAGCCGCTGTAACGATTATATTTTTCTGCATGACTTTCAGTCCATTGTACGGATAGATCAGATTCATTGTTATCTATATATAAAGTAAAAGGCAGAGAATTATGAAACATTCAAAATACCAGAAAATACCCTTAGTTAATTCAAACATTAAGAATTGAAATTATTAATTAAATGAGGATAATATGGTAAATTCACTTTTTTTCATATTGAAAAAAATTAAAATTAAAAACAAAATCAGATAATAGGTCATACTTTTATGGAACATAACTGCCCATGTTATCTTTTCTTAATTATAAAAATAAATAAATATGAAAATCAATTGGCACATGCGTGAGCATGTGCCAAGGGGCTAGTATTTATTAAAATCCTACTTTGTTTTTTTTTTTCCCTCTTTCTCTCAAGTAGTTTTATTAAATTCTTCTACGTTAGATGGGTACATATACTGACCAATATGTATTATTTATTAAGCAATAATGATATATACGACTTTAAATTATGACAGCAGAAACGCTTAGCGACCAAAGTCTTGGTTTAAACCATGACTAGGTCATCCATGATATCTAGGATCATGTCGCTTCATAAGAAACAATAAAAAGCAGAAAGTAGAACGTAAAAAATGATTTTGTTGCTGCAACATAATTTGTTTAAATTTTGAAACAGTTAAAATTCTATTGCATGAGAGGAGGGTTAATAATGTAATTACATATAGTAGCATTATAATTATTTAATTCTCTTTATTAAACAAAAAATTAATGATGTAATGAACATTTTTAATTGATAAAAGAAGAATTTTAGATTTAGGAACAATCTACAATGACAAATCTATGTACTTTCTGTAATCTTTTGCTTTCTTGGGTATAAGCGATAGAAGGATGACAATTTACACAAATATTTATTGGGTGTATGAGATTTTGAACCTATGTGGATGGAACCAATTGAGGTCTTCCTCATTGGCTTTTAGTAACCCATTTTAGGTTCCATATCCAAATATAAAACGACGATGAAGAAGAAGAAACGGTGAGGTTTTTGGATTTTGTTTTTTGTTTTTTGTGGGAATGGATCAGATTTTGGCCAGATTTTTGTCGGGCATCCAGTGCCATTCATTTTTGTAGCGTAAGACAAGACAGTGGCCTTCCGACTAATCGTCCCTTGCAAGTTGCAAAGTCCTACAAATCAACCCATGGCTACGACCTGGCCCAAATGTCAGAGCTGAAAAGTCCCGTTTTATGGGAGGGTCTTATATATATGGCATTTAAGTGAGGTTCAGTATCTTAATAGTCAAATGAGACCAACCAATTTGATAACTAGTTAATTTGATTCAACGATTAAGTGATAAGATCTTACCTAAGTCCCTCACCACAAAATTCTTGGAGCTGAAAATCACAAGAAGCCATAGGACTTTTTTGAAACGTCAATACCCAAGTGGGTGGGTGCTTTGTGAATAGAGTGTTTTTCTTATGTGGCTTGTTTTACTTGAGTTTTAGTTTCTGAAAAGTAATACAGGTTAAGGGGGAAAAATAGGTTATTTTATGCAAGTTATACTGCAAAGGAATTAAGGGGGTGTTTGGTATCAAAATCAAGTATTGAACTAAAAAAAGTTTATTTTTCTTAGGAGTTGTGAAATACACATTTTAAGATTCAAAAACTTATTTGGTATGTAATTTGAACATTGTTTCTTGTTAATTTTTTTTTCCTTCTACTTTCAAGTATTTGAGTATTTTTGAGTTTGGATTTTCTAAACCGGACATACCAAACATATTTTCTGAGTTTTAGACTCAAACTTTGTATTAAAAATTTAGATTCAAATAGAATACCAAACATGCCCCAAAGTTCCAACTCAAAAACCAATTGGAAATTAGGAGGGTGATATAGCTCCTTATAAGCCCTTGCAAGATTTCTTAACTTTCAAATGTGAGAGAATTTCTTCGCATCCCCATAGCCATGTCGAATTTTATTTTTCCCTCTCTTCCATCTGATCTGAACTGGTATCATCAACTTCATAAAAGAGATGCATAGTATTTAAAGATCAAAATTCTAGTTAAATTATATTACACAGCAAATACTACTATCTCACAGAAGCAATCCCACATTAACCAGAAACCTAATGTCCTGCCCAAATCGGTTAAAAGGGAAAATTAATCAAGATGCCTTCGAACATATTACAAACTGATAAAAAAAAAATCTCTTTGAACATTAGATATAGAACACATTTACAAAAGGGAAGAGTCTCTATCCTTTTCCATTGTATGCATATCACACTTCATGCAGTTGTTTACATTACATAATTGTTGGCCCCAATGATTGCCAGTCAGTAGGAGATAAGAAGCTAGGTTTTTTATGTTCATCACCACTCATCTTCGAGGCTGGCACGGTGGAAGCACAAGACAGTGCAGACAAATATGAGGAATGAAAAGAATTCGATCCACATAGCAGATGTCTCAATCATATGAGCATGCCTAAGGATAATAGGAATGGCTATGCTCCCCACAGTTGATGCTCCAGTCAAGAATTTAGCAGCATTTACCCACCTGCAATATAATAATTTTATTTAATCTAAGAATATGACCTGAAAAGAAAAAGAGAAAGCCAACAAGGAAGCTGTTAATGTAATTTTGAATTATAGAGGTTCTTTGCAAACTCAGTTTACAAGTTACAAAAGTTCCATAGGCTGGTTGTCAACTTGTCACAACTATTTTAGGGTAAAATCACAATTACATACATAACTACTTATTGCTCTGTTTTGTGACCCTAAAAAGGAGCAATATTTTTTAAGTTTGGCCCTTCTCTCAGCGATATTCCAATGTGTACCTTTTCACTTGTTCTATGAGTTGAATTTCTTGAATGGGCTATATGTCCCTTGGCAGTGTTGGAAAATCACAACCCCCCTTCAATACTGAGGTTCTTCCTTTGTGTACATTAGCAGCCCTTTTTATTCATTTTGAAGCATAACAGTACTCCGAAAAATTGATTTTATAGAAAGCTAAAATTTATGGTGTTAATTTAAAAAATAAATCAAGTCTTTCTTAGGGACAGTAACTATCGAAACGAATTGAACCAATGACTCAATCCTGAGGTATTCAGAATATCATCCAAACCATGGCAGTGATCTTAAAAAACTTGGTTATATCCAGTTGTGAGTTCCGAAAAAAAGGCTGACAAATAAATTGGTGCATGGCACACAAGTATCTTGACATTATTAAGAAAAAAATACAGGATGTCTATAATGAATGAAAAATTATAGAAATACCAGGTATATATAAGAGGGTTACATTATAGATGAAATTTTTGGTAAGGAAAATACTCACCCATCATTTTCCCTGCTAAGCAAAAACTGAGTAGAACCACCACCAAAGAATAAGCAAGGCATGGGTACGAGCACGTACATGAGAGCTACAACAACAATCGAAATTTCAATAATTTGATGCTCAAACCAACCCTAAATACCAAGTAGAATAAGAAACTTATATTAGCTACTCTCACCAGATAACATCGGCCACCAATTGTTGTATAATGCACAAGCCTGCCACACATTAAAAAAAAGAAACATTAAGTGAGTAAGCATAAAAGATATTTGAAATCCAAACCCCCAATCTGGTGATGTATCCCCAGGCAGTATTATTAATATCACAAAGGATACAAAGCCCCTTTCAAATGCAGAAGGCAACTTGAATAACACCCTGTTAGTAGGGTTCTAGATTTTGTCTTGGTAGTAAGCTACTATATCAACAAAAGAAAAAGAAGAAAAAAACATCTAATCCGCACAAGAACAATTGAATACTATAATTAAAAAGCAATGCATAAATGTGCCCCTACTCCCTTTGATATCATTAAACACATCCCCTAGGAATGAATGCACAAAATCCTCCAATTTCCAATGTCCACAAGTAACCAGAAGAATACTCATTAAAACTGAACCCTAACTTTCTTGCAGGACAATAGCCCAGTTTGTAGCTTTAACTTTTCTTATGCAGTGGGTTTTTCCAAAAGAAAGAAAAAACAAGAAGTCATATATGCCAACTGCTTCAATAATTTCACTGTTTAAAAGCTCAATTGAACTTGAAAAATATATCTCAGAAATGTTTGGTTCAAAATGTTTGCAAGATTCATCACAGTGAGCAGAGCACCTTCTTTTCTTTTTTTGATAAGTACAAAATTTACTGACATGCGCCAAGAACAACAACCCAAGCAACACAAGCACACACAATTAACAAAATAAATAAACAACGCGTGAAGAAAAGGATGAAAGGAAGTGTCGTCTGCAAAAATAACAAAGTGAATGCACTAGACAAGAAAACAAGCATAACGCCTGATGTTCATAAAGTAAGATGATTCATGAAGATAAACACATGCGCATGTGCCTTATTCTTGATGCATCTGGCATATTTGCAAGACAGACTATGTATGGCATAACATAATACTGGGATATAATTACAATTGAACAAGCATATATATGAGCATCTGTTCGAGTAAAAGGGCACAAAACTTTCAAAACATAATTATAAAGCATTTACTTTTTTTTGAGAAGAAATGAACTTTATTAAGCAAAAGAGCATGGAAGTGGATAAGGCAACCACCACCGAAGAAACAAAAACAACACAGAGAGAAACAAACAGCACCAGTCCCTCCCCAACTAACAGGGAGGAACAAAACCGAAAAACCACAGAACAACATACCCCCCAATTATAAAGCATTTACTATACAATTATAAAGCATTTACTATACAAAAAACAACACATGATTTAAAGCAAAAGGAAATTTCAAAATATTCCAAACCACTACAAACATTCAAACCATACAAAAATTACCAGGATCTGTAGCAAGATGCTTGCTGAAAACATAAAAGCAAGTCCTGCAAGCCTGTACACAAAGAAATTCGTCGTTAGAAGTCTGTTTGAGATAAGCTGCATAACAGGGCTAAGATCACAGAACTAAACCTACTTACACTGCAAAGAACACGACCGGTCAACAACACGCAGAGCAACAATCACCAAAAACAAAAAGGGTTAGTACTCAATGCCATCAAAATATGACTGAAGGTTCAATAATAAACACAATGACATAACTTATCATATATACAGTCACAGGAATTGATGCTCGACACATGCAACGCAACCCTTTCACAATCTGTGAACTAATGCCCCCAATTTACATATAGTAACCATGCATGAAATTCGAGCTCCCCAATTAACGTTACCGAAATAGTAAGTTGCCACTAAAATCAAATTGATACGATTAACCATTTCTTATTTTAGACCAAAAAAAACATTTCTTATAAGATATCACATTGGAAACATATATAGAATTTTAAGTTTTTATTTATATAAAAAAAAGTTCTGATTAAGATAAGGATTCAAACTGGGGTGTTTGAAATCATAAAATATGATTGTAATTTGTACTAAAAAAGATCAACTACACGAAACCCTAATTAATTGAGCACAATTCCAGAATGTTCAGCTCTCAAGCCCACACGATTCCAGTTCTCCAATTTTTGCAGGGGTGAATTGGAACAAGAGAAAAGGCTTATCTCAGTTTTTTGATATTATTCAACGAAATTCTGCACACACAAATTCGTCGCCCAGCCAAAACCAAAATTGATTTGAAAAGAATCGAATTTTTTTTTTTTGTTGAGATATATGAAGAGAAGAAAAAAAGAAGAAAAAAAGGGAAACATTAAGAATTGTACCTTCAATGGTCATCGCCATCGAAGAGACGAGAGCTCTCTTTGTTGGTAGTGACGCCGGAGGAAGGTTCGTGTTCGCTGATCGCGACGGAAGAAGCAAAACGATGAGCTTGCGAAATTGCAGAAGTGTAGGTGGTCCTCGATTGGTCTTCGGCTCAAGCCCAAATTGAAATTAAATAAAACTAAAATTTAATCAAAGTGGAGTCTGGTTTTTTTTGCCGGGTAACTGTTTGCGGCAGTAAACTGTAAAAGGTAAGAACTCCAACTACTTTACTTTTTTTGGGGGGTGGGGGTTGGGTTTATGTTTTGATAAACTTTTATTTATTTACTTTTTAACATTAGAAAATGGAAGTAAGAATGTAAATATGTAAAACTAGGTTACCAATAAAGATGAGATCCATATTAATAACATTTTTTCCTATGATGTATGAGGTTTTTTTTTCATATAACTTAACACAATGATTTGAAGAAAAAAGAGAAAGGAGAAATATAACAAAATTGGTCATGTGTTAATGTCTTACTTAAGAAAAATTTACACAAATGACTCATTAATGTAGTGATTTGGAGTATTTACTTCATCATGCAAGGTCTTGTTCGAATCATAACATCTGTGTAGTGTGTGCGAGTTTAATGTACTATTGCCTCTCTCATTAAAAAAAATCCTAAAAAGAAAATTTATAAAAATTTATACTCAATCAACGTTCACATCAAGATAAGAATTTCATACTTAATAAAAATTTACACAACACAAAACTTCATCGTGGTATTAGTCAATGAACATTTTGACCATTTCCATTGTCACACTAAAATTGTATTTTACAAATATCTCCCAGTTAAATTAATTCCCATTTCTCCTTTCCATTCTTAATTACACAAACTCTAAATATACCATTGCCCATGAAAAACCTTGTAATTTCTAAACCTTCAAGACCTGCAACTTATTCAAGAAGGCAATAGCAATCCAATCCAACTCCATAGCAGACCAACGCACTTGGTTAATCTGAGCCGTCGCTCCATACCACATCTCTGGCTCCACATTCCCACCACCGTCCGATTGAACCCCAGGTTTGACCACCTCCCAAATCATAGCCCTTGAATCATCACTCACAGAACATATCTGGTGGCCCATACCTGGGGACCAGGAAATGGCGTTCACACTGGATTCGTGCTTTTTAAGCTCCATGAGAGGAGCTGTAGGGAATCTGATGTCCAATATCACCACTTTGTTGCTGTCCATGCCCACTGTGGCAATGAATCTTGAGTCTTGCTTGTTCCATTCTAGCCTCAGCAAGGACCCATCTTGAGATGGGTTTTCATACACTATGGTTGACCTATTGAAAAATTTCGTAGAAAATTATTGTATTTATTAGTAAGACGGTCAGGAAATGTGATACAAATAGACAGTAAATCAAATGCAAATATAAGATAAGAAAGACAAATTATACCCCGCCAAAATTGACTTTTCTCTTCCTTATAATAGTAGAACTTCAGATCACAAGATTTCTGTATCAGAACACGGGCAGGCTCAAAATTTTGTACTGTAATTATAATAGGCTAAAGGGAATTGAACAGGGACCTGTGAGAAACTCTCATGTGGAACGGGGATATCACTTTTTGCTATTTTAGTTAATAACGCAATGACATGTATGATAACTTTTTTCACCAGTCATTGTGTTATTGGTCGAGAATAATAAAACAATGCTATCCTTATTACAAGTAAGTTTTTTAGCCACACATGGCCTCATATAGGTCCACCCCTGAATCAGAAGTAGCGTTGAACTCAACTACAGACTTCTTATCAACTAGGCAACTAAAACTAAGTCCAGTAGTACTTCTCATTCAATTACCCCAAATTAAAAAAGGTCTCACGTTGGATTCCCCCTCTCAAAACAAATAGGAAACAAAAGACTTGAGTTTTCAGTCTAAAAAAATTGCATGCAAAGTAAAATTGTGAATTAACCCTTACCTCTCTTTGTCCCTCAAATCAAAGACCCTGACAGTGCCATCCCCAGAAGCTGAGGCGAAGACATTGAAGCCACCCCAAGAAATGTCATACACTTCTTTATCATGAGCCACCAACTGAGTGTCCACAGCTTCCCTCTCAATGTCCCAAATTGTGCATGTAGTGTCCACACTAGACGTGGCCACACGCTTAGTGTCACACTCAGCCCAATCAAAAGATGTTATAGCCGAATTAAATTCACTGCTACTGTTCCCATTGAGCAGGGACTTGAGCTCAATTCTGTCATCATGGATCTCCCATAGCCTCAAGTAGTCGCCGGACGTGGCAATCAGGTCGGGGTTTGAGGGGTCCTTGGAGGGGAAGAACATGAGGTTGGTGGGTGCGTAAGGGTGGTCGAAAATTAGGCGGTTGTCGGTAGCGAAATCGGAGGTGTCCCGGTTGAATTGGACTAGCTCAACCTTGTTGCTGTAGTCTTCAATGAAGCTGCCTATGGCAAGGCGTGAGGGCTTGTCATGGCGGACTGACCACGCTAAGGAGTAGATTGGCCACTGGCTTATGTAGGTGTACACTCCTCCTCTTTTCTCTGCTGGGTTTTGCATGCTTGGAATAATTGAAATTTGTGTATTTTCTCTCTAGCTGCATGGTGATTTTAGAGTCAAATGTCAAATAATGTACAACTTTTATTTTTTATTTTTATACAAAGGATATTCTATTTTCATCTAAATATAAATTATATGGAGGAAAATTCGAATTCGAATGCATAGTGAGAAGCATATCCGCTTTAACTAACTTGGCTAAGCCTATGTTTGCAAGTTATAGTATTAAAAAAACAAAACATACATGTAAAAAAAAAGAAAAAGATATATGATCTTCTAGCTAGGTGCCTACACTTTGATTTATAAAAAAGAAAAGGCGAAGGCGGTTCTCTCCATAAATAAAGTAAAATAAAAATAAAATGGAAGGTTAGGCTAGCTTATCACCATATTCTGTTATACCTAATCAAGGTTGACTATCAAAATCTCATATAAAACCCATTGTCTTTTGGGAAGGTTCATGTACTTACAAATTGTGCAGCAGTATCCATTAGACCAAGATGCAGAAGCTCTTTGACTATGATGAGAACTCATTACCACCAAAATAAAAAAATAAAAAAAAGAAGAAGAAAAAGATTAACTCATTGATGAGAACTCTTCCTCTTGGGTTCGTAAACTTATTTTGATAATAATATTGTTCCATTATTCCATCCACAAGAAATGCGCAGTCCTACAATCAACTATCAAAAACCTACCCAGAAAAAAAAAGAGCAGAAAAGAAAAGGGCGTGAACAAAGTTTGAAGTTTGAAAACCACCCAATATTTGGGGGGGTGGTGTGGCGGGGAGAGAGAGAGAGAGAGAGAGAGAGAGAGAGACTTACATTGGTGAAAACTCAAGAAGTTTCAGTGGTTATGGGCTGCTTCCAGAGCATGAGACGTATATATATATATATAAGGAGGAGGGAGATGAAGAATTTGAGCTTTATGGTGGTAGTTATGAAAGTTGAGGGGGCTATATATAAAAATAGAAATATATATTATTATGAAAATATATATATATGAAGTAGGGGAGACAGCAGAAATCAAAAGAAGAGAATGGAAGGTGAGGGCGTGAAAGCTAATAGCCAGTCAATCTATATGAAGTGAAGAGAAGGTTTGGTTAATTATATTATTTTCATTTCGTTTATACTCTGTCAAACCGCTTTTAACATGCACCACCACAACTACTCAATTGTGACTCTTTTGGCCACGCGTTTTCCATTTCAAAAAATTATATTACCAAATTTAATTATTTATTTTTCTTATTTAGGTGCAACAATGATGGTGTCCAAAATTCTTCTAACAAAATTGCAAAATGACGGTGTACAAATATTCATTGGGTATCTTGAGACTTCGAACCTATGCGCATATATGCATGCTTAGATTTTATGAGAGCCCCGCTATGGGTACTAGCTAGTGTTTTTGTAATTTTTCTTTGAAATTTTGGCTTCCTTGGCACCAAACACAAAAAGAAAAAGACAATGTATTTTTTGTTTTCGTTTTTCCAAATTTATCGTTATTAAAAAGGACGACCCGAAATAGTATTCCATTTTTGCTATAACATGAATTAATTACTTTTCTCCATGATGATGCAAATGGTTTAACCCATGTGATGGGAAATATACAAATATATATATAATGCAAATAGCCTTCCTTCAACTTCCAAATTGTAAATTTCCTTTCTTGTGGGAATGTTTGTCAAAGAAAAGTAGCATATTAATTGTTTTTTTTTCTTTCTATAAATTATTGAATCTGAAATCATATATCAGACCTCAGGAGGCTGCTAATGGTCGCGTAAGTGCACTAGTGTGCGCAAGTACAAAAGCTCCCACCTCAAGTGAGAGTGACAGATGGTATTTATCCCCAAAGTCATAGTTTAAAACATACATATCTCAAATAGGCCATTTTTGAACCAAAGAGGGGAAAAGGATAAGGAACCCATTTTTTTACTAAAGAAAGTATAGCCGCGCTATACTCTTTTTTTTATAATTAAGTATTTTGTTTTAAAAAATAATATACTCTTTAAATATATATTAAATTTATTAGAATATATCTATTTTATTTTTTATTTTTTAAAAACAAAATTAGTTTTTTAGTTTAATGTTTGTAATTAAGTGCCAGTTTGACATTGCTTATTTGGGGTGATAAGTAATTTTTTAAAATTTTTGGAAAGCCCAACCCGTTTGGTAAACTATGAGAAAATCATTTATTGTTAAAAATTGCTGTGAGAGAAAGCTATAAGGGAAAACAGCTAATGTGGTGTTTTCATTTTCTGATTATGAAAGAATCAGTACCAATAACACTTTTAAAAAAAAGTTTACCAAACGCCAAATTGTTTTCTCTCACAACAAATCTAACAGTGATTATCTTCACAGCACAGTAATGCCAAACTGGCCTTAAGAAATATCTTAGCCTTATTTAATTACTTTAATTACTAATTGTATTTCCATTATTATTTATTTAGTGAATAATTAATAATTTAATAATTTAATTAATTTCATAAATTACTAAATATATAGTAATTAATTATTTTAAATTATTTGGTGGACGGTTTTTTAAACTTTTTCGTACAAATTAGTTTGTTTGGTTTAATATTTGTAATTAAGTAATATCTTAGCCTTATTTAATTACTTTAATTAGTTTTTAGTTATTATTTATTTAGTGAATAACTAGTATTTAAATATTTTAATAAATTTCAGAAATTACGTAATAAATAGTATTTAAATATTCACAGTTGCAAAAGGTCTACATTCTTTTTGGAATTCTATATATACATGCACAAATGAAAAAAAATACAAAAAAATATTTATAAAAAAAAATCCTTATAAGTAGTCATGTGTTTATAAGGCCCTTCTTTTTGGCATCGTTCTGGGCCATCAAAATCTCATACCCGGACACCTATCCATGTTTCCAAAATCTTCCTTTGAGGACCCAATCAAAATTTTTATCATCCCTAATCTTTTCTTGCTATAGAAACTATAAGCATCAAATAACACCAAACATGACTATCTAATTTGAATTGTTTTGCTTTGCGCATGGAGCTACTTATTTCATTTTCCTTACTAAATTTCAATAGATTTAAATTAAAAATAAAAGTAGAAAACACAATGCAGAGGCCATGTTGGTGCAAATAGCCTCATTTTTCTAAAATTTTGAAAGAAAACACAAATGATATAGATAGTGTAATGATTGAATAATTTTATAGATATTGGGCTTGAGAGCTAGTTGGGACTAAGAGTTGCTCATTTTGATTCAAGGCAAACCCTTTGTTTCTCACTCTCTATGTCTCTCTCATTCTATTCAATTTGGTAACCCTACCAACTGAGTACTTGTTTTTTTGTGTTGATGTGACTCACTTAAAGATGTGGAAGGATTATAGGAAACGGGTCAGTCAAACGAGTCGAAGACATATTGACTGGGCTTTAGCTTTCGAGAGGAAGTTGCAAGCGCTCGAACGACAGATGGAATGTTTTCGTCTAGGCGTAAGAGCTCGAGCACCTGATCAAGCGGTAGAACTCATATTCTAGCAGATGTAGGCGCTCGGGTGGTGCAAGTGGCGCTCGAGCGGGACACTCGAATCCATAGTGTATCCCCGGCGAATCTGAACAAATTTTCTCCTAGTTTTGGGGTCCTTTAAATTTCCTATTCCGTTTATAATTGTACTAAAGCCCTATGACATATAGACATGCACTTTAGCGCTAGGTTATTGTAACCTGAGAAAGCTAGGACATCAAATGGTTAGAGTCAAGGGTGAGAGATCAAATAAGGTTCTTCATTGTAACCAAATGGGTTCTTGCATACTAATGAATTTCTCAGTGATCACCAAGAGGACGTAGGCATAACGATGAGCCTCTATAAATTCTTGTGTTCTTTGTGTGCGTGTTTACTTTTTGGTTAATATGTGCTTTATCTCTGTGTGGCTTGCGTGTGATAGTTGCATAGTCCATCAACGACAAAGTCTTGGAATATTTTCACATAACAAGTGGTATCAGAACCTAGTTGCAGCGAGTATTAGTTTATACCCAAGTGCTCTTACAACTTTAAGAGCGGCAGCGTGTTGACGACGGTAGATGGCAAGGAGGAAGAAAGTTCCGGTACTAAATCACCACGTGTATCAAGTACGAAGGTGGACTTAAATCCGTTCACCAGCAAGGAGAACTTTACACTTTGGCAAAGAAGGATGGAGCATGTCCTTAAGAAGCAAGGTCTCAACAAAGTCTTGGGAGGCAAGGAAAAGAAGCTGGTAACTATGATGAATGCAGATTATGAGGATCTAGACTAACTTGCTAGAGGATTTATTGAACAACATCTAACTAACAAGGTGTTGTGTAATGCAATGGAAGACACCGCAAACCAAACATAGGAGAAACTCGAAAGAGATGTTTGCAACCAAATCGTTGTCCAATAAGCTCTTCTTAAATAAGGAGCTACACTCTCTAAAGATAGAGGAATGCATAAGCATAATGGAGGACGTAAGCGCCTTTAATATGTGTATTGTAACTTGCAGAGAATTGATGAGGTTTATAAGTCAGAAGACAAGGTTGTGATGATATTAACATCCATGTCACCGTCTTATAAACACTTATGCACTCGATTATGTTCGGGAAGGGAATCTTGAAGTATGAAGAGGTCATGCAAGACATCCCGACGCATGAAAAAATGGTTCAACGTTCCGAATGTGTCTCTTAAGGTGAAGGTCTTATAGCAAAGTTCGGAGAGAGATGTTGATCAAGCAAGTGCGAAGACAAGAAGAGCAATAGGGGAAATCAAAATCCAAAGTGAAAGACGGTTGTTTTGAATGTGGATTAAAAGATCATTGAAAAAAGAATTGTTCTACATGGAGAGATAAGAGAAAGAAAATGAAGACATCGGATAAAGCCGGAGTCACAGAGGATAGTGATGGTGAGGTTTTATTTACTGATAACATTGTTAATATTGATGCACTTACTATCTCTTCTAGGGTTTCATCTTTTGATTGGATTTTGAATTCCGGGGGCTTATATCATATGTGTTTAAACAAATCTTGG